TCCTTCCTTCCTTCCTTCCTTCCTTCCTTCCTTCCTTCCTTCCTTCCCTCCTCCCTTCCTCCCTTCCCTCCTTCTCTTTCAATACACCCACTCAATCAGTATTTCTTTCCTTTAGGTCTTTTAACATTACGTATGTATCAACACATCTGTATATATATGTATATGTATATAATCTCATTAACTAAATTTCACTGGCCAAACTATCCCTAAATATGACCTCTTCTGTTATTTTATCCACAGAGTCCCTCCAGATTTCAGATACAGATTTTAGGCACCTTTTCAATGACTTATGCCTCAGCTGATAGTGAAGCTACCAGCTCACCCAGCTTGCTGAAAAAGACCTAAAACTATATTGGAGACTCTTCTTGGGTGGGAGGATTTTTAAATTCCATATTAATATCCACAAAGATTTATTAAGTGCATACTATGTGCTGGGGATACAGACAAATGAAACAGTCCCTGCCATGACCCTTTAGCTACTTGATCCAAATTTCAGCCCACTGTCCCCAAGGGCCTTGTGTATACAGGGGGAGAGTGTGCCCCTAGTATTTTGGGGGGGATTGTGACAAATGTCTTTGCTATACATGCTTAGTAAACACTTCTTTCTAAAAGCTGATTAACTCTGGATGGCTAATTGATAATCATTGGGGAACAGAGGTACTCGTGGGTCCTAGTACTAGAAATCCTCAATCCCCTCAGGTTTGCCCCTAGAGGGAAAAGTGCCCCCTGGGGATTGATAACTGTAGAGAGAACAGTTTCAGTTGAATAATAAAGTTGGAAGCTAGATTGCAACGAATTAAGAAGTGAGTGTGAGATGAAACAATTGAGGCAACCAGAACAGGTTTGTTTTTCCCTAGGAGCTTAGCTATGATGGGAAGAAAGATACGGGATGATGAGATAAAGTGAAGGTTGTTTAAGGATTGAAAGTGGGTGTATCTGGGCATGTTTGTAAGCAATAGAGAAGGGCCCAGTAGGCATGGAAAGACTGAAAATTAGGGAGAGGGGGAATAGTCTTAAGGAAAGGCAATGGGAGGGGATGGGTTCAAGGGCTCAAGAGGAAAGAATGGCATTTGCAAGAAGGACCATTTCATCAGAGGAAGAGACGATAGGGGCAAGTTACTTGGCCTCTGCTTGCCTCAGTTTCCTCAGTGGTAGCACAGAATTAAAAACAGCACAGGGTTGTTGAAAAGATAAAATGAAAGAATATTTATAAATGCAGAAGTGTTTTGGGGTATAGAGTTATTACTATTGTTTTGGTCATGGCCTGAGTTAGTAATGGAAAGGAGAGCAATGGGAGCTTGACCTGGATGACCAGGGCCTTGGTTTCCTCATCTGTAAGATAAGAGGTTGGATTAGATAAATTCTGAAGTCCCTTTTGTTTCAAAATCTAAAATAATCTGGTCTAAATTCCCTTCCCGGGCTAAATCCTGTGGCAGTGGCTTCAGCATTACAACCAAGATGTTGGTGTGTTCAGGATAGTTTTTCTTCTCTAGGGAGAGGAGATTGACTCACTTTCACATCAGCAGTAGATCTGAATGATATTAGGGGCTGGGACTGAAGTGGAGTGTCATGGTGGGGAGGGGGATGTAATTAATCCTGTATATGCTAGCAAGATGTGTGGGATGTTTCAACCTGTGGACAGCTCCCAAAGAAGACACTCAAAGGCTTTTTCTTCTCCCTTGCATAAAATGAGTTGAAAATTCAACTGTTAGAAGTAGGAATTGAGAAGATGCCCCAGGGCTTTGCACTCCTGAGACCTTAGTTGAATGATTTAAAATTTTCACTTTCTCTGGCCCCAGGGCTAAATAGCAAAAAGTAGGGCTGATTGAGAACGTCTCATTAGTGAAGTCCCAGTGAAAGGAAGTCAAAAGGGCTTAAATCTATTGCCTAATGTTGGACAGCAATCTCTACCCTACTTACTTATTTTCTGTCTTTTGGTATTTACAGATATCTGAGAAATATGGGTTGCCAGTAGAGAAGATTGCAAAACTTTACAAGAAAAGCAAAAAAGGGTAAGGAAAAATATGATCACTTTTCATAAAATCTCTCCCTTCCACCAAACAAACAAAAACAACAACCAAACACACACACACACACACATTCCCCCCCCCCCACACACACACACACTCACACACTCCAAATTAACCAGGCAGGATGCCTAGGGCACTGGACTTGAAGTCAGACAGATCCAAGTTAAAATCCTGCCTTAGGCATTTACTAGCTGTATGATTTCAGGCAAATCACTTAACTATTCTTTACCTTAGTTTCCTCATCAATAAAAAGACGGAGCTGGATTTAATAGGCACCAAGGTCCATTTCAGCTATAAATCTATGATCCTATGAATCCAAATTTCTTTTCTATGTAAATCTGTTGTCCAACAATGCTCAACATTTTTTTTTGTTTCCATTTCCCATGGTAGCAGAACTACTGGGGTGGGGATGTGTTGTGCAAGTCTCCAAAAAGAGGAGAGTATCCCTGCTATGATGAGCTCTCAAGGCAAGGTGAAGAAAGGAGACTGTAGTAGGTTTGGAGAGGAAATAGAGGAAGACAGGGCTGTACTGGGGAGCTCTATTCCAGAGGGCTTTGTAGGTCAGATCAAGAGTAAGGCTGGTATGGTTGGTTGGTGGGTGTATGGGTGTGCTGGTAAATGTTTAACAACCAGTTCGCCAAAAATACAGGAAATGTTTTTAAGTTTAATCTGCATTAACAACATTTTCTCCATTGCCTTCTTTGATCTAGACAATCAACAAAATAATAAATCAAGCCTGATTTGTAGTTTGCTGATTTCCAAAGTGTAATTGCTCATGTTGAAAAATCAATAATCTTTAACTCATGTTTGGGTGAAAGGATAGGTAGAATGAGAAAGTATTCCCCAAATATTGCTCCCTGTACCAGAGAAAGCAAGGAAGGAAAGAAGGAATGAAGGAAGGAAGGGAGGGAGGGAGAGAAGGAAGGAAGGAAAAAGGAGGAGAGGAGAAAGGGAGGGAGGGAAGGAGGGAAGGATTTATTAAATGATTTTAGGGTAGGAATTCTTAACCTTTTTTGTGACATCATCACCATACCTACCATTTATATAAGGCCTACTATGGGTCAGGCACTATGCTAAGTGTTTTATAAATGTTCTTTCATTTTATCTTTTTCAACAACCCTGTGCTGTTTTTAACTCTGTGCTACAGTTGAGGAAACTGAGGCAAGCAGAGGCCAAGTGACTTGCCCAAGGTCACACAGCTAGTAAGTGTCTGAGGTGAGATTTGAAATCAGGTCTCCCTGGCTCATTAACCCCTTTGGGAAGCCTATGAAGCCCTTTTCAGAATAATGTTTTTAAATATATAAAATAGAATACAAAGAAAAACAAGTATGTTGAAATAACAGTTATCAATTTTTTTTTTAACAAATGAGTTCCCAGACCCCAAACTAACCACCCCTGTTTTAAGAGAAGAGATAGAAGTTACTAAAGCTTCCCTGCCCTAATTGTGAGCCTCTAGGAGGCTCACAGCAGGACAAGGAAAGCAGGTCTTGTCTTTTAGAGGCCAGGGTGTGCAATCAAGGTACTAAGAGGTCATTTTTCATCTCCAAAGTTCCTTCCCTTGGGCTGAGCCCTTGGATTCCTTCACAGCTGCCAATCTCTCCCCTTTTTCTCCAGCATCTTGGTGAACATGGATGATAACATCATCGAGCACTACTCCAATGAGGACACCTTCATCCTTAACATGGAGAGCATGGTGGAAGGCTTCAAGATCACTTTGATGGAAATCTGACCGACCCTGCAAGCCCCCTCTGCAGGAACCATCATTGCATTTCATCCCCAGAAAAAAGCACGCCCCACCCCACCCCCAAGAACCCTGCAGACCCAAGTCACCTATCTGAGAAATGCTGTTACAAGACTGCTTTGGGGAGGGGAAACAAAGGAAAAAATGCCCTTTTTAGTGTCGTGGGGCTTTTTGGCTCAGTAATCAGGTCGCTGGGGCAGAGCTGAGGGAGGCCTGGTTTTCTAATAGAACCCCAGCTGGGAAGGTACCTCCAGCCCCTTGGCTCTTTATTTATTGCCCACCACTCTCCAGAGCCAGCTGGTGCCTGGGCTTTATAGGTCACTCCTGGGTATGGAGTGATCCATCCTCAAGATGAGATAGTCTAGGGCCTTCCCCACTGAGGGAAAACATCTGCTTGGTTCAGCTGGGGGAGGCTGGAACGTTTTAGTTATTCCCCTTTCCCCCTGTGTGGTTGGACAAAGTGGGCTACTCCATGGTAGAGTTAACCCAGGGGGTGCAAAGAATCCAACACTCACATTCACCAGTCAGAAACCCCCTTTCTTTGCCCTGGGGAAGGCAGTCTTGTCAAATACCTCTAGAAGCTCCCAGCAAGTGGCCCATGGGGACTTGTACAGAAAGATGTTCAGCTACCGTGTAATTTGTAAGTGACCTGAAAAGTATGCCTCTTTAGCATCTGTACATAATGTTTATAATATTGCAATAATATATTTTACCTACTGTATGTGGGCACGTTTACTGCCACTGTATTTGGGGGGTGGGGTGCATGCCCTGAGGTTCGCCTTTCTTCAAGAGCTTTCATCCTGCCCCTCCCCCAGGGATGGTGTTGGGCAGCAGACATGGCCTGAAGTTGAGTAGTGTTCCTGGGCTGTGAGCCCAAGAATTTACTGCCAGTGGAGGAGCTAGTCTCTATGCAGCCTCTCCCCTGGGACTCCTTCCCTGTCCTCAGGGAGTTCCCCTTCCCTAAGCATTGCTATGTTCCCTTTCACTGGACCTGTTGCATGCACCCGCTGATTATATTCTTTCATATCCCCTTACTACTGGTTTTCTCTCAAGAAAATCAAAGGGTCTCCTTGTCCCTTTCCAGTGTGCTGATGCTAGAAACCCTGCAAGCATGTGGGGGTGCCTCACAGTACCAATCCCATGGCCCATCAAGTCACTGCAGGGTTTGGACCAGACTTTAACATGCTATTCCATGTGCTTTATTGGATGATTATTCTCATTTAAATTAGCCATGTTTTTATCATTACCCAGGAGCCTTATTCCTGGGGCCTGACCACCAGAACAAGCTCTTAGGTGTAACTGGACCTCGTCAACATAGGCACTTGTAAGGTTTAGATTTAACTCTGTCTCCTCCCGCTGGCATCAGATGCTACGAAAGTGAATGAAACTATAAAAGTCCCTTTACCTCTCAAGCTGTACCCTTTTACTTTGAGAAGCCTTTCCAAAAACAATGATGTGGCCTGGGGAGAGAGCTCCTGGGAAATAAAGAGGAAGAGAAATGTTTTGATAGATGATCTCTTAAAACAGCAAGCGAATCTGAGCATGTGTTTCAGTAAACATGCTCTCTGTGATTGGCCAGAGAGTCCAGAGCACTGAGCCCCTGGAATGAGTAGAGTGGACTTTGTGTCCCCAGTATGAACTTCTTAATGTTCCCCCACCTCAGTTTCCCTTTGTCTAGCCATTGGATGCCATACATGAAGCACTTTGAGGTCTTGACTGGAAGGCACCCTGGATTTCAAGTGCTGGAGATGGACATTGCAAATCAGCACAATGAACCATACCTACCCCCTCCATGGAACTGCCCCAAATCTGCATCCAGATCCTCTCTGACCTGTCTTCTGCTCCCTCCCAGTCCAGCTTGCTTCTCTTTTATCAGGGAACAATATTGAAAAGAGCACAGATTGTCCCTAAGAATGGGGAGTGGGTAGAGAGGAAGATATGGTGATAACTCAGCTTTCTGTGTTTCCCTTGCAAATCTGTTAACCCTTTCGCTGTGGCCATCCAGAGAAAGGAAAAAAAAAACTTAATCAAGCATACTACTATATCCTAGACAGATTCATTTATACAGCAGGTCATATCATATCCCCCTTTTTCCCTAGTGACTTTGATGTCACTTAGCACATGAAGCTGACTGAAGCCACACCTTGTTAGTTTCACCAAGATGTTCGTGGGTTTTACCTGAATACTTCTAAACCTATTTCTGAAAAAAATCTCAAATGAAAAAAGAGATGATTTTTACTTCACAAGCTCCTTGAGAACGTCAATATAACTTGTGTGCATGAAGGTTTAAGTCCCAACCTCCTGGAAGCAGCACTAGCTTTGTCCTGGCCACTCTAGGCATGTTAGTGACTACTTTCTTGAAGGAATGGAATCTACCTGCTGTTTACCTTTCCCATTCTGTGGTGCAGACCTTGACTAGCCAGTTCTAAAATGTCATCTTCTGGTATCACTACAACCACTAGCAAGCATCAGGGATGGTTTCCTGTTGGTAAGATGTGGCCCATAATACTACAGTAGCTATTCTTGGATGAAAATTTGTACAACTTGTTCCCCAAAGAAATGGTGACCAGTGTGTCTCTTCAGAGGTTCTGAGTGGGTCCACAGGCTTGTTCCATTACGTTCCCTAGACTTCACAGCATGTTGTAGGCAGCCATCAGCTTCCAATCCCCTCTCCTCCCTGCTTCCATCCTGCATCCCCTTCTCTCTTCTCCATGCCCAGGCCTCTCTGCTGCTTCCTCCTCTGAAGGAAAAGCTCATGGACTAGCTTGGATGTGCCTTTAATGGAACGCATTAGCAGTGCTTTGATAAATTACCAAGTGTCAGAAATTGCGGGCAAAAAGCACTCCAGAAACACAGAAGAACTTGACCCTTCTTCCTGTATTATTTGTCACTTTCAAACAGACACTAAGTTTTTGATTGATGGACCACGGAGGCACTTGAAGCAAGTGCTTAACTTGTTTACGCTAAGCTGTTTAAACCTATGCTACGGCGGCTTTGGAATTGGGGCTGTCGGGGAAATGCCGTCTGATTTTCTTTCAGAGCCATCCCCAAGGTGGTACCTGTGCATTCATACCAGCCTCTGCGGGGATTCAGGACTTGAGTGAAATGGATGGAATGTTGAAATTCTTCCCTTTATTTAAAATGGATTGAACTCAACAGAAACAGGAGGGTTTGTGCCAAATTCTGTGAAAGGCCCTTTCTTCATGGCAAGCAAAAGAAGCATTGTATACAATTTGCTTTCATGTTTTAAAAAAAAAAAATAAAACAGAACACACCAATAGCCTATGTAACTTAATAGTTTTGTAAATGGGAGAGGGGGAATCTATAAACTAAAAATACAATTATTTTATTTTTTGTACATTTTTAAGAAGAAAAATAAATATTCATAATGTAAGAGTGAACAGCAGCGTCTGGTGCTTTCAGTGAGGCCTTGGGTTCTTCAACCTGTTGGCAGGAGATTGGCTGCCTTAGGCAGCAAGTAGTTAGCTGTCACCAGATTTCCCACAGGGGTGGCTCACAGCAGGGACGTGATCAGGAATTTTCTCCTGAATGTTTTTTCCCTGATGGAGTACACAGAAAAGTCACTGAACAAACTAGGACAGGGAGAAGGAGACTTAGATGCTGCCACTCCCTTATGTACAATCTCATCATATAGTTGTTTGTTTTGTTTTGTTTTGTTTTCTTCTCTAAGCTGATACCACGTCTTCTCAATTCAGAGACATTGGTGTTTTAGTTTTATCATTTCCTCTCCACCTCCACCCCAGTAACTATTTAGTATCATCTCTTGCTGCTCGGCAAAGCTCCTCCCCTCCAGACAGGCTTTTACTCCAAATGTACTTGATTTATATCTTGCATATTTCTGCCTCTCCCTCTTCTCTACCATCTATATTCAACTCATCTTTTGAGCCCTAGCTCCAAATTTATCTCTAAGAAGTCTTAAGAAACATCGCTTTCTTTTATAAATATAAAAATTAATTAATTAATTATTTTTAATGGTCTTTTCTTTTTACATTTTGGATTCTAAATTCTCTCCCTCCCTCCCCCATCCTACCCATTGAGAAGGCAAGGAATATGGTGTCATTTATGCATGTGAAATCATGCAAAACATATTTCCATTTTTGCCCCATTTCAAAAAAAGTAAGAAAAACAAAGTGAGAAATTGATACTTCGATTTGTACTCAGAGTTCATCAATTCCCTCTTTGGAGATAGATAGTAATTTTTTCATCATGAATCCTTTGGAATTGTCTTGGATCATTACATTGATCAGAGTAGCCAAATAAAAAATTTTTTGATATTATTTTATTGTCCATGGCACCTTCTAGTCAAATGCAGCCTCCCTTATCATCCTCTTTAATCAGGTCTATTTTTGTCCCCACCTCTTCTGAGACCATAACTGCCACCTCTACCCTCTTTTAGTTCAGCTGAAGCATATCTGACCTGGCTCCAGTCCTTTATTTTAACTCTGTGTGTGTCTTTCTGTTTCAAGTGTGTCTTTTGTAAACAACATGTTGCTGGATTCTGGTTTCTAATTCATTTTTCTATCTGCTTTATTTTATGGATGAGTTCCTCACATTCACATTCACAGTTATTATTACTAACTATGTATTTCCCTTTATCCCTATTTCTTCTGTTTCTTCTATCTCTTCTTATCCTATCCCTCCTCAAAAGTCTATTTTGCTTCAAACCAGTGCCTCTTTTAACCTGTCCTTCCTTTTATCATCCTCCTCTTTTCTCTTCTCCCCTTACCCTCCTGTTTCCTTATTGGGTAGATTACATTTCTTTACACAAGTGTGTGTGTGTGTACATACATACATACATTTATACTTCCCTCTTTGAAACAATTCCAATGAGAGTGACGGTCAAGCATTACATGCCACCACCACCCCCATTTTCCCCCTTTGCTACAAAAACTCTTCCTTGTGTACTTCTTCTATGTGAGAAAACTTTTGCCATTATACCTTCCCCCCCCTTCTCCCAGTGCATCCCTCTTTCTCACTTCTTCATTTTTTGGAGATCATTCCAAAACAATCAACTCACATTCACGTCCTCTGTCTTTGTAAACTCCTTTTAACCACCCTAATAATGATATAGTTATTAGGAATTACATGTATCATCTTTCCATATAGGAATATAAATAGTTTAACTTTATTGAGACCTTTATGATTACTCTTTTATGTTTACCTTTTTATGCTTCTCTTGAATATTGTGGTTGAATATCAAATTTTTTATTCAACTCTGATCTTTTTTTCAGAATTGCATGAAAGTTCTCTCATTAAATATCCATTTTCCCCTGAAGCATTATACTCAGTTTTTCTGAGTAGGTCATTATTGGCTGTAATCCTAGCTCATTTGCCTTCTGGAATATCATAGTCCAAGCCCTCCCTTCCTTTAATGCCTTTAAGCCTCTAAATTTTGTGTGATCCTGACTATGGCTCCAGGGTATTTTAATGTTTTTCTTTCTGGATGTTTGAAATATTTGCTTTTTACCTGGAAGCTCTGGAGTTTGATGTAATATTCCTGGGAGTTTTCATTTTGGGATCTCTTTTAGGAGGTGATTTATGAATTCTTTTAATTTCTATTTTACCCTCTGTATCTAAGATATTGGGGAAGTTTTCCATGATAATTTCTTGAAATATGATGTCTAGTCTCTTTCTTTGGTCACAGCTTTCAGGTAGTGCAGTAATTCTTAAGTTATCTTTCCTCAACTTATTTTCCAGTTCAGTTTTTCCAATGAGATACTTCACATTTTCCTCTACTTTTTCATTCTTTTGATTTTGTTTTATTGTTTCTTGATGTCTCGTGAGGTTGCTTTCATTTGCCCAATTCTAGTTTTTAAAGGAATTATTTCCTGCAGTAAGTTCTTCTACCTCTTTTTCTATTTGGCCAATTCTGTTTTTAAGGGGTTTTTATTCTTCAGTGAATTTTTGTACCTACTTTTCCATTTGTCCTATTCTGCTTTTTTAAGGATTCTTTTCTTCAGTGAAATTTCATGCCTCTTTTTCACCATTTGGCCAATTCTGTTATTTAAGGTATTATTTTCTTTGGTTGTGTGTGTGTGTGTGTGTGTGTGTGTGTGTGTGTGTGATGTTTTTACAAAACTATTAATTTTCTGTTCATAATTTTCTGTTATCACTCTCATTTCTTTTCCCAATGTTTCCGCTACCACTCATCTCTTTCTTTAACTCTTCCAGGAATTCTAGTTGGGCTGGGGTTCAATTAGCATTTTTCTTTGAGGTTTTGTTTGTAGCTATTTTCACACTGTTGTATTTTTTCTGAGTTTATGTCTTAGTCTTCCCTGTCACCATAGTAGCTTTTTATGGTCAAAATTTTTTGTTATTGTTTGCTCATTTTCCAGCCTATTTTTTAACTTTGAACTTTATGTTAAAGTTGGGCTCTGTTCACCTGTAAGTGGGAATGCACTGTCCCAAACTTGAGGCTTTTTCCATGTGACTGTTTCCAGGGCTAGTTCTAGGTGTCTGCCAGTTTTTGGTGCTTCGAAGGTAGTGTGAGGTATGGTCACTGCTCTCCTGGTCTGTGCTCTGGTCTTTTCCAGGAAGAGCCCCTGGTCCCCTGCAATCACAAGCACTAGCACTCTGTTTGCCTTGGAACTGTGACCAGGGCCATTGCTTTCTTGTGACCCACCCCCAGAACTCCTCTCTGCCCTGTAACTGTGACCCAGAACTGCATATGGGTGATAGAGTTTCCAATCAGTGCCAGATGAACCCAGTGCCAGCAAAGGGTGCCCTGTAATGTCTTTCTGATCAGTTGTCTGACCCTCTTACCATCCCTGGGTTGAGAGCTCCTGAAGCTGCTGCTGCTACGTGTATGGGCTCCAGACAGGCTTCTACCTTGTTGTCAAAAACTTCTCCTGCTAACCTCCTAAGTTTTCTTAGACCAGAAAAATGCCCCACCCTGACCTTTTGTTGGCTATGCCACTCCAAAATGTGATTTGAGGCATTGTTTTATTGTTTGCAGGGTAATATTGAGAGAGTTCAGGTGGATTGCCTCT